GCAGCAGGAGCAGGAGCAGAAAGAGGTGGCCGGCTGGGGGGCGGTGGACAGGGAGCATTTTCCTCCCAGACAGTGTCCGAGAGAGTCAGCGGGGTCCACTGCGTCGGGGACCAGTGGGCTGGGGGCCGCAGGTCCGGGGGCTTTGAGTTCTTAGAGGGGGCGTGTCCGAGCCCCACTGATCTGGAGGGCAGGGCGCCTGGACGTCGGTCCCAAGGTGGGTGGTCTAGAGTTGACCTGGAGGGCGGAGCTGCTGGCAGCCGCGGTCCCTGAAGAAGAGTCGCATCCTGCTTCTTAGAGCCGGGCGGTCGTCCTGTGGGCGAGGCCATGCCCCCTAAGGCGGGGCCAGGTACCCAGGGGTGGGAGCAGACCTCCAGGGACGGGGCGGAGTCCTCAGGGGCGGGGCCAGTCTCCCAGGTAGTAAGGGAGGGAGTCCTGGATGGCGGCCTTGAGGACAGGGACTCAGAAGAGCTTGTCCTTCACCAGGCCATTCCGCAACGGCTTCCTGGTGACCAGAAGTCAGAACAGATTAGTTTGGGAACCACATTGCTTCCCTCTCCCTGTGGAGTATCTTCCCTTCCTCACCTTCTACCTCCCAGGCAGGTAGAATTGGCTGCAGGCTTGCTCCCTGACTTGCACCCTGACTTCCTGCTGTGGTCCTGGGTACCTGCCCGACCCCTAACCCTTCAGAATATTCAGAATCTCTGAGGGCCCCCGAGTGCTGGGGATGGAAGGCAGACCTCGGCCACTCTAGGCACGTACTCTACAGCCAAACTGTATCCCAAGTCCCAGTTATGGGGAGTTTTAGACTTTCTTTATTGAGATGGGGTCCCTCTCTGTGGCCCCGGCTGGCCTAGAACTCCCTTTGTAGAGCGAGTTGGCCCCTAACTCACAGAGATCCACCTGCCTCTGCCTCTTCTTCCCCCAGGCTGGGATGATCAAAGTCGTAGCCACCAAGCCAGGCGCTAGAGCTTTTTTGGGCGGGGAGGGGTCCGAAACAGGGTTTCTGTGTGGCTTTGGAAGCTGTCCTGGAACTAGCTCTTTTAGACCAGGCTAGTCTCGAATTCACTTTAATCCAAAGTGCTGGGATTAAAGGTGTGTGCCACCACTGCCGGGCTGGTGCTAGAACTTTTAATTAATACAGTTTCATTCTGATTCTCAGGGAGTGACAACCTGATGGCTAAGCAATTCTTGCAGGAGTCCTGGCCAGACTGAGGTTTCCTCAAGAAGGGATGAGCCCTGCGGTTTCTGCCCCCCTTCCCAGTAGTCAGCTCCTAAGGGAGGGGACGTGGCTGGCGGGGGTCCCTGGGGTTTCCTTTGCACACTTTGTGATCTTGAGACATACTAGGGACTTCCTCAACTGAGGCAGATCAGCAGCTCCAGAGGGTGGGTGGAGGTCCCACTTTTGGAGGCCTGGGTGCTACATTTCCAAACATTTCTCTATAGGTAAGTTTCAGATTTGTTTGATCTCCCTACCCTGTTCTCTTATGCCTCTGGAATGTTCTAGAAGCTTCTTCAATATGCCCTCCCCTGTCTTCACAGACCTTATGGCCCACAATAAAGGCACAACTTCAATCCAAAATACCCTAAATGAGACTCCCAATAGACCTCTCTCTCTCTCTCTCTCTCTCTCTCTCTCTTTTGTCTTCGAGACAGGGTTTCTCTGTGCAGCTTTGGAGCCTATCCTGGCCCTCGCTCTGGAGATCAGGCTGGCCTGGAACTCACAGAGATCTGCCTGCCTCTGCCTCCCGACTGCTGGTATTAAAGGCGCTACCAATGCCCGAGCCAATAGACCTCTTATGTCTTAGCAAATGCAATCCTACCCTGGACCCCATCTGTACAAACAGCAGTTTGAGCCATAAGCCTGAAGTGGTTAATTCTTGCTCTAACACTCCCACAGGCAAGCTGTTTTGGTGACTGTTCCACTTTTAATTTTGAGGTTTTGCCTACATCAGAACAAGACAGACTGGCTGTCCCTGTGGGCTCAGTCAGACCTCATTCTCTGGCTGAACTCACAGTCTTGAGAGGCTTCACATGCTAGTCAGTCCCAACCCTCGAGGACTCGCTTGGAATGAGAATGTGCCCACAGGCCCGTGGAGTAAACACTTGGTCCTCAGTTGGTGGTGCTGTGTGGGGAGGATTAAAGCGTAAAGCTTGCCGGGCAGTGGTGGCACACGCCTTTAATCCCAGCACTGGGGAGGAAGAGGCAGGCAGATCTCTGTGAGTTTGAGGCCAGCCTGGTCTACAAAATCGAGTTCAAGGACAGCTAGGTCTGTTACACAGAGAGCCCTTGTTTCAAGGGCCACACACATAGTATGTCCCTGGGAGAGGCTTTGGGATCTTTATTTATTTATGTTATGTATACAGTCTTGTGCCTGCATGCTTGCAGAGGACACCAGATCTCATTGAAGGTGGTTGTGAGCCATCATGTGGTTGCTTGGAATTGAACTCAGGACCTCTGGAAGAAGAGTCAGTGCTCTTAACCTCTGAGCCATCTCTCCAGCCCAGGCTTTGGGATCTTTAGCCTCCCCCAACGTGAAGCTTCACTGCTTGCAGTCCCGTGAGCCCTCATCTTTCTGCTCTGGCCACTAGGGGGCTTACTGCCATCACTCCCACCATGATTGACAAGTAGGGCAATAAGACTCTATCAGGGCTGTGAATGAAAATTTTTGAACTATGGCTATGTGGCTTTGTGAGGGCTAAATTTATGTTTTAATTACTGTACTCAAGAGATCTATAAAACAAATGCCTCTAACTGTAAGCCCCACTTGCCCAAGGACTGATAACTTCCTGGAATGCTGGGAGCTGTTGTTCACGTATGACAGGCCACGTGTTTTCACTTCTATAAATAAGGTTGGTTGCCCCAGCTGCACAGGATGTGCTTGATCCCACACAGGAGAGAGGTATATAGGCAGGAAGCATGTCAGGATATGTGCTTGCCCCCATTGGACAAAGGCAGGAAGTACGAAGCCTCATGGGTTTTGCCTTTATAAGCATCTAATGTAATTTATGGCCATTCTCTAGGAAACCTGGGTATGGACCTGGCCAGTGTCCGTCATCCTGGCCAGTATTTAATAAAGCTTGCTTCAGATTTGGCTCATTGTTAGTGGTCTCATTCTTGCCTGGTAGGATTAACCATTTTTGGTGAGCTGTGACTGAAGTCTTCCTGCAAGGGTTTCTCAAAGTCAGGACACTGGCGCTAAGGTTCAGAGGGGGCCACCTTCCTTGTAAGGTGTAAGATTCTCCCGAGTAGAGAGCAGCTGAGGGGTTATGGAGAGCAGCTGAGGCTTGGCATCCTGAGAGGCCACCAATGAAGGCAGAGAGACTGTCATAGAGCGTAGCAGCAGAGTGCAGCTGATGTGAGGTGAGACATGCTGCATAGGGCAAGTCTTAAAAAGCCCAGAATATCTTGAGTGAATCCCAGATTTGGGGCACTAAGGTACAGATTTAATTTATACTGATGGAATTTGGTTCTGCTCTACTTTGGTTGTGTCTGGAGTAAGAAATGTTTAATTTATTTTGAGTTTTACAGGAGCCACAGTTGAGAGATTTGGATAATTTAAAGAGTGCTAGAGGGGGCTGGAGAGATGGCTCAGAGGTTAAGAGCACTGACTGCTCTTCCAAAGATCCTGAGTTCAATTCCCGGCAACCACATGGTGGCTCACAACCATCTGTAATGAGATCTGGTGCCCTCTTCTTGCCTGCAGACATACATGCGACAGAATAATGTATAATAAAAAAATAAATCCTTAAAAAAAAAAGCCAGGTGGTAGTGTCCCACACCTTTAAAGAGTGGTTGAACTTAAAAAACAAAAGCTAATTTATTTAATTTTATTTTATGTGTATTGGTGTGAGGATGCCAGATCCCCTGGAACTGGAGTCACAGACAGCTGTGAGCCACCATGTGGATGCTGGGAATTGAGCCTGGGTCCTCTGCAAGAGCAGCCAGTGATCTTAACCACTGAGCATCTCTCCAGCCCCCGAGTGGTTGAACTTGTGATGGAATTTTTGTTTGTTTTCTGAGACACGGCCTCACTATGTAGACTTAGCAAACCTGGCACTCGCTCTGGAGACCAGTCTGGATTCAAACTCACAGAGATTCGCCTGCCTCTGCCTCTTGAGTGCTGGAATTAAAGAGTGTGCCACCATGCTTAGCAAGTGATGGAATGTCTAAAGCCTGTGGGGCTTCTGAAAGTTGGACTGTGTTTTAAACTGTAACACTCGCATGAGATCTTGGGGAGAAAAATAAAGGAACGGTTATGGCTTAATATAGGTGTGCTTGTCCGTCAGGTTGACAAGGGTCAACCGTACTAATTTTTTGTCATTAACACAAACTGGAGTCCTTGGGAAGACAGAGCCTCAACTGAGAACAAGCCTCCATCAGATGAACCTGTAGGCATGTCTGTGGAGCATTTCTTGATTAATGACTGATGTGAGGTCTTGGCCCACTGTGGGTGGCTCCACCTTGACAAGTGGCCCTGGGCACTGTAAGCAAGCAGGCTGAGTGAGCAATGGGAAGCAAGCCCATGAGGTGTGGCTTTACTACCACCCTGACATCTCTCGGCCCTTAGCAGGGATTGGTGTGTGTGAGCACCTTGGCCTCCTCCCCGGTTGTTTTGGTTCAGGGTTTCATCCCAGCAACAGGAAGCAAACTAGGGTACTCACTGTGCTCTGGTGTTAGCTCTGGCTTCAACACACTTCCTCTGGAGCCCCAGATTTTGTCGGAACTAAGATGTGTGTATTTATTTGTCTATGTCTTTTCTTTAAAAACAGTCTCTCTGTAGTTGAAGCTGTCCTGGAACTGCAGGAGACCCTTCTGCCTCAGCCTCTCAAGTGCTAGGATTAGTAGGTGGATGCCTTCAAGCCCAGCTCATCCCTGTCTCAAGAATTTAGGTCCAAGCCATGGTTAAGAGCACTGGCTACAATTCCAGGGGACCCAGGTTTGAGTCCCAGCACCTACAAGGTAGCTCACAGCTGTCTGTGACTCTAATTCCAGGGGACTGGATGCCTTCCTCTCACCCCTGTGGAGGGAGTCAGGTGCAGGCAGGGAACTGACACACATGCAGAGAAATATCCATCCAGACAAAACAAATGCACAAATAAGTTTTAAAAAGAACAACTTAGGGCTAGAGCAAAAGTTCTCAACCTGTGAGCCAAATGATCCTTTCACAGGGGGGCACATACCAGACATTTACTTTATGATTTATTTGTTTAAAGATTTATTTATTTGCCGGGTGGTGGTGGCGCACGCCTTTAACCCTAGCACTCGGGAGGCAGAGGCAGACGGATCTCTATGAGTTCAAGACTGGCCTGGTCTACAAGAGCTAGTTCCAGGACAGCCTCCAAAGCTACAGAGAAACCCTGTCTCGAAAACCAAAATACATACATACATACATACAGTACAGTGTTCTGCCTGCATATCAGAAGAGGGCACCAGATCTTATTATAGCCCAGGAATTGAACCCAGGACCTCTGGAAGAACAGCCAGTGCTCTTAACTCTGCGCCATCTCCACTTTATGATTCATAACAGTAGCAAAATTACAGTTATGAAGTAGCAACAAAAATAATTTTTTTGAGACAGGGATTCTCTGTATTGCTTTGGAGCCTGACCTGGCACTCGCTCTGGAGACCAGGCTGGCCTCGAACTCACAGAGATCCGCCTGCCTCTGCCTCCTGAGTGCTGAGATTAAAGGTGTGCGCCACCAACGCCTGGCTTAACAAAAATAATTTTATGGTTGGTGGTCACCACAATATGAGGAACTGTATTAGGATCACAGCATTAGGAAGGTTGAGAAGCACTGAAGAGGAATAGCTCAGTGGTTAGTTACGAGCAGTGATAGCCCTTTCAAAGGACCTGGGTTCAGTTTCCAGCAACCACATTAAGGCTCACGTCTATCTTTAACTCCTCTCAGGGGATCCAGCGCACTCTTCTGGCCTTCTTGGGCACTTCACACACATGGAGCACATACATACATGCCGGCAAAACACCCACACACATAAAATAAAAATAATAACTGAAAAAAAAACAAAAGAATCTAGGGTCAACAGGATGGCTCAGGGGACATGGTGACCTGAGATTGATCCCTGGGACCCACATGTGGAAAGAGAGATGACTTCACATAAGGTTGTCCTGTGACCTCCACACACCCACTGTGGCAAATGCCCCATCCCTCATCTTCCTCCATTTCTTTTCTTTTTCTTTTTTTTGTTTTGTTTTTTGTTTGTTTGTTTGTTTGTTTTTCCAGACAGGGTTTCTCTGTGGCTTTGGAGGTTGTCCTGGAACTAGCTCTTGTAGACCAGGCTGGCCTCGAACTCACAGAGATCGGCCTGACTCTGCCTCCTGAGTGCTGGGATTAAAGGCATGTGCCCCACTGCCCAGTAAAAAACACAAACTATTAAATCACAACTCTTCCTTCATTACCTCATGGGGTCTGAGCTGATGCCTCCACCATATCCCCAAGGTCTGACTGGTTTGCACCTTCTGGAACCTTCTACAATTTCCTGTTCTTCGTTGCTCTTGCTCAGTGTTCTTCACATTGTCTCAGGGGTGCTGCATGTCCTGAATCCTGCCTGTCTACACTGCCTAGGGGCTGGTGAAGACCCCAGAGGTCCAGCGACCCCATCATTGTTCCAGCCTTTGCCTGGCTGCTGAGCCAACCCTAGACTCCCCGGACAACAGGGCAGGTGGACAGCACTCTCACTCTCCTTTGGGCTGGACTTCACAGTCCAGCCTCGTGCAATCTCTTGCTTGCTCCTTCCAGCCAGCTAGCAGTTCCCAGCCGTGACTGGCCTCTTCTGCTGTCTCAGAAGAGATGTTGCATTACTGGCTACACATCCATGCCTCTGCCTCCGGCAGTTTCACTGTGGGGTCCCTGCATTCTCTGGGTTCCACACCTGTTCCTAAAGGAAGGAGCAGAGCTCCAGCCTCACTCACTCAGCTTTGCAGGGCTTGGTGGTCTGAGCTTCCAGAGTGTCGTATTCCCTCAAGTCCTCAAGTTCACGCATCTGGCCAGTTAGCACCTTGGCTGCAAAAGCCACGATGTACTGTGGGAAGAGAGGGCACCGGTGAGACCCTTTGCACCTGCACACAGGCCCCCCATGGGCCTGAGGGGACCCGTAGGGCTGACTCACCAGGAACCAATAGATGTTCATGACTGTGAGGATCAGCAACAGTGTGTTGAAGAAGAAATAGTACGGAATGTCGGGCACCGACCGCAGGCTGGAGTGGCATGTGGCATACAGAACTTTCAGCGGGAACCAGTAGAGGCGGAACCAGAACCTGGAGAGAGGGGCCGGTCAAAGAGACTCCCTCGCTTCCTCCCTTTCCCTGACTCGGCCAAACGCCCCTCCCTGACTTATCCACCTGTCTGTCACTCATCCACCAGGATCTGCTTGGCCATTCCCTCAGCCCCTGTACTGCCACACCCAACTTAGCACCCTTCTAGTTCTTCCCAGGCCCAGCCCTTTCTGGATTAGGCACACCCTCCTGGCCTCACCCACCAAGCATCAGTCTCTCCCCAGCCTGACCTGGCCCTGGGCCAGATGGACTACTCTAGGACCCTCTCTACCACCCTACTAACCCTGCCCAGACAGGGCACACCCATGTATGTCTCCACCCTAGTAAGTCATACCCCTCTCTTCCACTACCCAACAAGCCATGCCCCTACCACCTGACCCCACCCCTCTGTCTGGCTCCACCCCTCTCACCAGCAGAAGCAGAAGCTAAGGCAGCCCAGGTTGGCCACCAGCCCATGCAAGCGGTGGTAGGTGCCACCCCTGGCCTTGAAATAGATGTTGAGCTTGGTGAACTCCAGTTGTACATCGCTAACATCATGCAGGAAGAAGACCAGGAGGCCTACATTGTGGTACCTGTGGGGTAGGAACAATCACACCAGGACTGCGGAGCCAGGGCCATCTGTCCCAGACACACAGTGGGTTTTTGGCTTTTTGGTTTCTCGAGACAAGGAGGCAGATGCAGGAGGATCTCTGTGAGTTTGAGGTCAACCTGGTCTACAAGAGCTAGTTCCAGGACAGCCTCCAAAACCACAGAGAAACCCTGTCTCAAAAAAAAAACAAACAACAACAAAGGAATTGTAAAGAGGGTGTCACGCAGACGCAGGTCCAAGACAGAGTCCAAGCAGTGACAGACGTTGTCTAGGCCTTACACACCCCTGCTCCATGCACCCCCCTTGCTTTGGCCCTATTAGGCCCCAGGACCTTTGCACAGACTGCCCACCCACTCTCTTGATGAGCTCACCGGAAGGCATAGGAAGAGGCGATGAGGACCAGGGTGACCACATGATGCACCAGCATGACCACAGAGTCCTTGCGCCAGGTGTCCATGTACACGGTGGCATAGATGGAATGGCAGTAGAAGCTCCCCTGCAGTAGGTAGGCAGCGGCTATGTCCCAGGGCACCGCCATGCCGGACCTCCAGTCTGGAAAGAGCCATGCTCATGGTCATGTTCAGGGCCTGTCCCCAAGACCTCCTGACACAGCCTCACAACAGGGGTGGCCACAAGTCTTGTTTTTACAACTATTCGATGTGTGGATGTGTGGGCACCTGCCATCTCAGGGCCCTGTGGAGATCAGAGGGCAATTTCTAGAGGTCAACCCAGGTCCCCAGGCTTTGGAGCCAGCACTTTTCCAGCCTTGTTTTGTTTTTGAGTCATGATCTCATACAGGCCAGGCTCACCTCAAAATCTCTATGTAGCAAACACTGACCTTGAGCTCACACTCTCCCCCACATCTCTCTCCTGAGTGATGCCCCGTGTGTGGAGACACCACGCCTGGTTAAAATGGATGGAACTGGGGACGTCTTGCTTCTAGGCAAGCTCTCTACCAAATCCCCAACCCCATTTTGCTTGCTTGTTTTGTTTTTGAGAGTCTCTTACGGAACCCAGGCTGGTCTGAGAACTCACAGTAATGCTCCTGTCTCACCCTCCTCCTCAGTGCTGAGATAACAAGTATATACGTCATGCCCGGGCCCCACTCTACATGTGGAGATGGTTCTTGTCGAACTACCTGGCCCAGGACATTTGCGATGGGCGAGTCCCCCATGGAGGGCTCTATCTGATGCCTGTGTCCTCCCCTCTAGCCTTCTGAGGCTTCCAAGTGTGTCTGCCCTCACTCAGGCAACAGTCTCTCCTACTGCCCACTCCTCCCCACTTGTGCCTCCTCCTCTCCCTCACCACCCTATTCCGAGTTCAAGGGCTCCTGGATGCTCTGCCCAAAAGTCCTCTGGCTCTGAGCCTTTAGTAACAGCCATGTGCATCAGCTTAGAGGCAGCCACTCAGCAGAAAGCCAAAGAGGGGCTTGTGGGGCTAGTGAGATGGCGCATGCCTGGCAACCAGAATTCTGTCCCCAGAACCCACATAAAGGTGGACAGAAGTGATTCCAATGCTGTCCCCTGCCTCCACCCCGAGAAGACCCCCATACACACATTTCTCCCCATCCACTAGCAAGCCCCTAACACTATGTCTACCTGCACCACCCTCCTTTGGCACACTTCAGGCACCTCCAGTAAGGTCTTGTCCCAGTTAACACATTCTCTCCCCTCTCTGACCTTATGTTTTCTCTTGCCACTTCTTACTATGATCAGACTGGCTGGCCCCTCAAGGCTTTGGGGGCCTCCTCCTGGATGTCCCTAGCACAAGCCTACCTGGCACTTGCTTAAGCCTGGGGCTGGGGCTCAGGGGTAGAGCCCCTGCCTAAAATTGCCCAATGAGTGGCTGTGGGCATGGCTCAGGGTAAAGAGTATAGTGACAGCCTAGAATCCTCCAGTGAGGGGGTGAGGCTGTGCTCAGGGTAAATTTGCACACTGTTCAGTACGTAGGAGTTGTTTTGCTTCCATCTCGGGGGGGGGGGGGGAAACCTGTGGGTGCTCAAAAAATGCACAGCACTCTGGCCCAGACATGAACCTAACTGAATCACGGGTTGTCAGCTGGGCATGGCAATGCATACCTTTGATTCCAGCACCCAGGAGGCAGAGGCAGGAGTATCTCTGTGAATTCAAGGACAGCCTGGTCTACAGGGTGAGTTCCAGGACAGCCAGGCTACACAGAGATATACTTCAAAAAAAAAAAAAAAACACAGACAAATGATAACCCTGAGTTATCTACATAAAGACAGAATGAATGGCAGCTAGCAACCTTTTGAAATCCAAACACTGTGGCTCCTGGGATGCACACCTGGGTCCTAGCACCCAGAAGGCTGAGTGGGGGCATCCTCAATTTTAGGCCAATCTGGACTACATAGTAAAAAAATTGTGTGTGGTGCTTTCCATGTGGGGAAAGTCCCCACAATGCCTAGCTGTGTCCCACCCTGAGTCCCCTCAGCCTTTCCTGTCTCTGCACCTCCCAGGGTTTCTGACCATGGTCCCCAGCAAGGAGCACTCCCTGACATTTTTACACCCACAAATCCCCATCCTATCCACCTTTTATGTAACTCAAACTCCAGCCGGGAGTTGAATCCTCATGGAACTGTCTTGTGATAGCCCAGGGCCTTTGCACACATCCCTGTGGCACTGCCTCTGGAAGGAGCCTGCTTCTGACCACAACTCCAGGGTTTCATGACCACCCTTATCTTGGGGCTGGCTTGATATCAAGACTCTCTCATTAGGCCCATTCCAGAACGTGTGTGTGTGTGTGTGTGTGTGTGTGTGTGTGTGTGTTGTGTGAGTGTGTGTGTGTGTGTGTGTGTGTGTGTGTGTGAGTGTGTGTGTGTGTGTGTGAGTGAGTGTGCAGGTCAAAGGACGACTTTCGAGAGTCAGTTCTCGATCCTACCATGTGGGTCCCCAGGATAGAACTTGTACTATCAGGGTTGGCAGCAAGCACCTTTGCCCCTGAGCCATCCTGCCAGCCCCCTTTCTATTGTTCTTAGCAGAGTCCTTTGTGCTGGTCCCACAGGGTTCCTACCATAGAAGACGGAGGGTGGGTCGTGGAAGAAAGGGTAACGGGTACCCAGGAGCAGGTAGGCACAATAGCTCCAACAGCCCAAGTAGAAAAGGAGCTTCCAGGCGCTCTCAGGTAACCTGGCAGCATCTCTAGGCTGCAGACGACACCGCTTGGCCAGGGGCTGTGGGGACACGGTGGGTAATGATTATTGTTGGGGAGCTGATACTCCTCCGGGGGGGGGGGGAAGCAAGGCTCAGGGACTCGCCAGGCTCGGTGGCACTGACAAGGCTGGGCCTCTGTACCCATATCATCTGGGGTAACCAGAGCCCATGTGTGTGGCCATGAAGAGCTAAACTTAGCACCCAGCTGTCCTGTGTGGCCTGGGAGAGGGAGGGGGTGCTCAGGTTCGAGCAGGAAATGAGGGTGTCTTGGGAAGGGAGAAAGGGGGGATGACTATTGGAGGAAAATACCTTGGGGGACACAAGTGACACTCCCCCCACCCCACCCCTTGGGGGAAGGAAAAGGAGACACTGAGGATAGGAGGGCACCTGGAAGGGAGGCTGGGGTCCAAAAGCTGTGATGCCACCGGCCAGGAGAAGGGGAGAAAGGGAGGGACAGAGTCAAAGGGAGTCACGTGGCAGGGGAGGCAAGCTGACTTCGGGGACACGGAGACATCACAGGATAGTGCACCCTGAGTTAGAAGATGGATGGTGTATGCCTATCATCCCAGCATGTGGGAAGCTGAGGCAGGAGGACTGCCGTGAATTTGACCAGCCTGAGTTTCAGAGTGAGACAGTGTCTCAAAAACTAAAAAAAAAAAAAAAAACGGGTTGGAATGGGCAGCACCCTGCGGGCGGAGCTCCAGAGCTGTAGGCCAAACCCAGCCCCCTTCCTCCCAAGGCTGAGGGGGACAGAGGAGCCCAGAGCACCCAGCAGTTGTCATGGAGACAGCCAGAACCCAGCTCTTGTAACCCCTAGCAACGAGGCTGCTGCCAAGTTGAGCTTGGAGAATGGGGCAGCCCCTCGGCTTGTTTCTAGGGGAGGCGGGAGGGTGGAAGTGGGTTGGCGTCAGGCTGCCTCGTGGGCCTCCAGCATCCCAGCTGGGCAGCAGGAGGGCATGCTGGCCCAGGCAGGTGGGAACCAGAGCTGGCCTGTGAGATGGCCCTCCTCACTTGCTTCCCCCTCTCCAGCAGCTGGGGGCTCCCTCCAGAGGGTAACAACAGACAGGGTGGGCTCTGAAGCTGGACAACACCCTATCTTGACCTAACAAGGAACAGCCTCTTCCAGCCAGCAAAGAAAGGCCCCTTTGTTGGCACAAAGCTCTGTTCCCGCACCCTCTGCCCCTTCCAGTCAGATGGGGGCGGGATGTCCCCAGCTAGTCCCCTGGAGAGTACCCACCATGGTACTGGCCCAAATGCCACGGAGACCCCGCCCCAGGAGAGGTGAAGGATAGTGTCAGATGCCAGTATCATTACCAGGGTCACTCTTCAGACCTGGGCGGTGGCCTTATCAGTCTCCCAAAACAGCATTTTGACCACCGCCCTATGGGGGCGGCAGAATCCAACCCTGAAGACACGAACAGGGTCATTTCCAAGGTTGAGCCTTCGGTGTGGCCCTTTACACGCAGATATGTGTCATCCCTGGTTCGGGTGTGGTGGAGACCCCAGAAAAGGGTGGGGCCTCAACTGCACAGACCGGGCGTAGACACAGCAGCTCCCAGTGATGCAGGGCGCAGGTGACCTCTGTATACCTCAAGGCCTCCAAGTGCAAGACTTGGGCTCCCTGGTCCCCAAGTCTGTCGCCAGGTCGGCCCTAGGGTCCGCAACAACCTAGAGGTTGTACCGAGCGGATCGCCCTAGATTCTATTGAAACTGCCCAGGATAGAGTGTGGATCTTAGTTTCCTTGCACCCAGAACATCCCAGTCCACATGGGATCCCCCTCAATCCGTCATCTGTCACCCCAGTTCAACCACACCCCTGCACCCACCCTGCTCTGCTGCAAAGGGTCTCGGGATAGTGTCTGAGGTCCCAACATCCTGGGCATTTCCAGCCCCGAGCCCCCTACTTTCCAGC